GTTAAATCACAAATTAAGTTTTTATTAGAAATGCAGAAAATAATATCTTAATAGACAGTTTTTTGGGTTGAGTTGGACGTTATTTGGGCCTCTAAGAAAGACAAAATGACAGCTGGTATTGATGACATCCCGAGTGTCCTAACCAAAGACTGCATATGAGTCCTAGCTAAATCGCTCTCACATATTATATTTAATCTGTCTTTTTCAAAAAATAAATTTCCAGGCATATGGAAGACAGCTCATGTATGCCCCATGCTCAAGAAAAGTGGTCCATCTATTATCCAGAACTATACGGCTACTTATATCATAGTTGAGTAATTTTCAAAACTCTTGTACAATCTTGTACAATCACATTTACCCAATATTTAAAATATGTGTATGCGTCCCCTGACCAACATGGCTTTATGGAAAAAAGATCTTGTATGACAAATTTAGCTTACTTAACTCAATATTTATGTGAATCTCTCGATAAACAAGAACAAGTTAATGTTACTGGGATTTCCAGAAGGCATTTGATCAGTTTGATCATTAGACCGACCAATAGAGCGAAAAAAGAGACTGTTTTTACACTTAAATATTACATCAAATTTCATGTACATATTTCCTTTTGAAAAATACTTAGAAAATGGAAACCCAAGTGATTTCCCCAGCAAAGTCGTGAACAATTTTTTCTAAACAATAAAAACTGCAAAAAATTAAATTTTTTTGGTTTTTTATAATATCACGAAAAATAATTATGGAATCGTTTTACTCTCAATAGGAATTTTGTAGAGAATAATAGAAAACCAATGAAATGTTTTTTTGTGCGACCCGAATTTTTACAGAGAAAATCCGGAAAAACCTCTAAAATAGACCTTTTTTCAAAAATTAATAACTGGAAGCTGGAAAAACAGTCTTGCGAAAGATAAGAGATTATAATATTATGTAGTTTAATCGTGCGCAAGATGGTTTCTGTCCGATGCATCGTTTTTGTACAACTTTCGATCGTTTCTTGCGACTTTCAAGGGCATTTTTAGCATATTTCCCATCATCACCCAGCGAAAATTCGAGATATACAAATTGGAGATTTTGTCGTCTACGTTCAGATGCCGTTTTCAGAATTTAAATCGGACCATTTTTAATAAATCGCCACGCTGTGCAGAAAATGACTCTAATTTGTTTATAATGCAATTGTGCAAAAACTATCCATCGGACAGAAACCATCTTAAGCACGATTAAACTACATATTATTATCTGTCATTTTTCGTAAGACTGTTTTTCCAGCTTCAAATTTGACGGAGTTATTAATTTTTGAGAAAAAGGTCTATTTTAGAGGTTTTTCCGGATTTTCTCTGTAAAAAATGAACCGATCGGGTCGCACACAGAACCATTCTATAGGTTTTTTTATTCTCTACAAAAGTCCTATTGAAAGTAAAATGATTTCATTGTTATTTTTCGAGATATGAAAACACAAGGAAATGTCATTTTTGCAGTTTTTATTGTTTAAAAAAAATTGTTCACGACTTTGCTGAGGAAATCACTTGGGTTTTCATTTACTAAGTATTTTTCAAAAGGTAATACAAAAAAATTGCTGTAATATTTAAGTATGCCAAAAAATCTCCATTGGTTGACCTACATTACGTTCTACTTTCTAAACTTGATCGCATGGGTTTTTCGCAATGTTTACTAAGTTTTTTGAGTTATTTTTATCTGGCAGAGAACAATTTATCGAGTATGATGGTTTTAAATCTTATGTTTATAACGCTAATACAGGAGTTCCGCAGGGGTCCAACTTGGGACCTCTGTTATTTTTGATTTTCATTCATGATTTGGCCAACTCAATTAAATGGCCCAAACTTTTTTTCGCCGATGACTTTAAATTTTACAGTAAAATAAATAATATTCATGCCTGTTATAATTTGCAATCAATAATTGATTTCATTTTACAGTGGTGTAAAAAATATCACATCCATATCAATGTTTCAAAATGTAATGTAGCATCCTATACTAGGAAAAAATCACATATTCAGTTATAATATCACAAGAGCATAGAAAATATTCGATTATACTTCCGTGTCACGAGACGTATTCTGCGAAACACCACGACAGCGTAGCTGGAGTGGTGTTTTAAGGATATACGTCGAGTGAGGAGGTTAGTATAATCGAATATTTTCGTTTGCTCGAGTGGTATTCGATACGATTATATAATTCAGAGCTTGAACCGAAGCGTTCCATTTTTTTTTTGACGTTTATTGACAAATGTTAAAACTATCGTTACCATGACATAGTTCACATTGTTGGAGGAGGCGAAACACCAAAACGGTTATACCACGTCGTCAAGAGTATAATCGCTTTTCAATACATAGTAACTACGTAAAATTTGTAATTGCTATTGGCTAAATTTCTAATGAATTATATAATCAGTATAATTATCACCTTGAATCTACAACTATAAATAGGTGTGATATTGTGAAGGATTTGGGCGTCTACTTCGACAGTGTGGCCTTAGCTTCAGACACCACATTAATAATATAGTGCTTTCTGCCTCAAAGGCATTTGGATTTATAATGAGAAATACCAAATCAATTAGAAATACTTATGTTCTAAAAATTATTTTTTATTCTCTCGTTAGAGTATTGTATTCTTGTTTGATATCCATTATATAACTATTACATTGATGTTAATAAATCAGTTCAATAACGTTTTTTAAAATACTTACCTTTTAAAGAGGATAGCTTGTACCCCCAAAGGGGAATTGATAACACTATTTTATTAAGTAGATTTAATATGTTTTCTTTAGAGATAAGACAAAGAATTATAGCAGTAACATTTTTATATAATATTATCCATGATAGAATTGATTGCAGTGAGTTACTGGCATATTTATATTTTTTAGTTCCAAGATTTCAAAGTAGGTGCGAACGTCTTCTACATGTAATGACTAGCAATTTTAATGCAATTTGTAGCGAATGTGATATTCATGCCGCCAGTCTTTATAAAATTAAAGATTGCCATTACTTCTCTGAATCTATAGATTTACTGCTGTTAATGTTTGTTTAAGCATTACGATATCTATTAATAATTTAAATCTGTTTTTGTATTTGTATTTTTTATGATTTTTTTTTATTTTCAATGTACATCTTTCGTTTTTCATGCGTTTCCTGTAATTGGGTGTATCTCTATAGGGGTGAGTCACTATTATCTGACAACTTACTGTTTATTATTGAAATTACAAAAAAGTTTTTAATACAAAAGTTCTAGCTTTTTTATGAATTTTTATAATATTGTATTCGAAAAAACAAATGAATAATGGAAATCACTGAATGAAAGTAAAAAACATTTTTTTAAATGGAACGCCCTATAGGTTAGTGCATACTTAGCTTGGTTAAATTTTTCTCTTTCAAAAAATATGTAATTTATGTTACTGTTTGATTCAGGACTTTTCGACATAGGTACATATTTTAAAACTAATTTTAAAAAAACAGGAGGGAAATTTATTTCTGACGGATCGCAGTGGCTATGGACGAGGCACGCGGAACAAACAAATTACTTTGACAGAAGTTTATTTATCATCATTAATTTATTTCCTCGTGCATTTTTTAAATTTTCCAATTGGGCCAAAATTGCACTTAATGACCCTCCTTATTTGCTAGATTTATTTAAAAAACATTAATATTCAATAGAAGTTAATATGCTTCTGATTTTCCGTGAATCTCTAAAAGATATATTATATAAACAAATGATTTATTGCAATATAAACAAGAACCTTGTTTTCTACGGCAAATCTGATAAAATCAGTAACAGACTTGATTGAATCAGTGTTCTTCTCTGTATATATCATTTTATATATTTTGAACGAGAGGACATATCCGAAAACTTTTTTAGTAAAAGTTGTGAATGAAAACTTTCATATGACTTAAGAAAATATGTGTGAAATTGGTAAATATATAAATAATAATCACAGCCCTTATGACGGTAAAATCTCCGTTTGAGATTTTCTATTTGACTTTTCCATTTTGCTGTAATGGCGGATAACCATCAGTTTTGGGTCACCCTGTATACAAATTGTGAGAATTTTAAATAAACTTAGAATTGAATTATCAAACAGGCAAAAGTAGAAATATCAACATTAATGCTTATTTTATCCTCCTAGCTACCTGATATTCTCTGTATGTGTTTAAGTTTTAACTGTAGAAGGGTAACTTTAGGATGGAACATCTAGGAGTCATATATAAGCACTGCACCTATTTGGAAATAGTAATACGGGTGATATATGGCTCATATCTCTTGCAAAGTGTCTAGTGTAATATGTTAACAATTAAGTCTTAATATCTCCAAGAGATATTATATTTGATGATTAAATTCTTGCTCTCTATTTACGGGAACTTCAAACTTCCCTTTTGTAGTAAAGAAACTTCATGGAGAATGCACACAGCGAGATTCAAATTTTATTATTAAACCTAAAACAAATGAATCTTTTTATAAATAACTACGTATTTTCTATATATTTTTTTAAAAAACTAATAAAATTAAGAGGAAGATCTAATTTGCATATATTGAGTTTACCAGTGTGACTTTATTGTTTACGCAATTAAAAAATTAGTTTTCTTCAAAGTCTATTTTTTTATTGTCTATTAGAGAGTTCCTCATTAGTTAAGCAAATGTTTCTGATAACAAATATTTAAGAATTCAATTTTTATCTCGATTTACAAGACATTTAAAGAAAAATTTAAAAAAGTAATTAGATAAAGGTTCGCGCCAAAGGTAATGTGTTTTTTTACGTACGAGTTAAATAAAAGTTTCAAAATTACAAACTTTGACTTATTTTTGTTCCCAGGAATTAACATTAGTTTCATAGAAACCATCTTTTGATTAGGGTCTTTACCCAAGGACTTATTAAATTAATCCTAATTTATTTTACTAAAACAAACTCCTGTTTGTATTAATAGTAAATTAAAAAAATATTAACTCATCTACTTTCGATAAAATGTAAAATATTCTTTAAATAATAAATATTGCAATTAAATAATCACAGGCAGTATAATTTATTCTTAATTACAATCAGTCTTTTGTACAATGAGGTAAGTGGAATGATATCTGTTGAATACCCCAGAATTCATAAAGAATATATGTGCTTTAAAAGGACTAAGCTAATTCAAATTAATTCTAAAAATTTTCCTGAAATTTTCTTCGTCAAATGAAGGTCTATGCTCTATTATACCAAATATTTAGGTATGCAAATAAAGTACCTAGCATAAAAGTCATGCTGTTTGTTTTGATTGAAATAAAAAATAACTGAAGAAACACCTACCTGGTATATTGAAATTAGTATACAGGGTGATTCGGTCATATCATCAATTTTAAGTGAGGGTAGGAAAAAATGAGCGATTAAACGATTTATAAAATGCGTACCGATTCACGCTGAAAAAAAATATTTTCAATTCTTTTTTGAACCCCTCTTTAGACCGCTTCTACAAAGGTTTATCGAGAGTGAATCTTGACCTACCGTATTCGGTCACTAACCTAACTTTTACTGTGTTTTTAATAGTGATTGACAAAACAGACCTTTTTAGAGACACGTGAATGAATAAGATCTTTTTTTTAAATATTAATAAATATTATTTATTTTTAAGGACAATAATTGTTTCCGAACGGTAGTTTATTTAATATTTCTAATATTGTTAACATTTTACTATGTTTTATATTTGATTATGAGTTTTTAGTACATATTGTGTTCAATTAATTATTTAGTTTGTAGTGCGTATACCCTATTTTGTGAGTTATTGCTTTTCAAAGAGTAGTATGGTACCTACCAATCTAAAATGACAGTACTGCTAAGAAAAAACACTCACTCATTCGTCCATAACACTTTGTGAAGTTGGGATACGCTGCACTTTGGTTTTGAAGACGACTGGGGAAATCAGCTGTTTCTCTTCAATGTTCGGACGCTCTGTGGTGTGCTGGCTCGTTCCCAGTCAGCAAATGTAATGCAAAGTAGGGCGCCAACTTAACAAAAGTTAAGGGGTAATTTTTTTTTAAACGTCGAGGAATTTTTTTTTCTCGATTTTCTGTCTTTATTAGACCTTTCGACTGCGTGATTAAAATTAATGACATTATAACTGAATCACCTCTATAATGCAAATCTTTAGAGAAAATCATCCTTTATTCTTATACATAATAGTTATATCACTTTAACCAAAGACCAATGCAAAATTCATCCACCTACCTATTTTTTCTGCACTAAAATGATTACGACGATTTAGGAAAACTGTGAATTAATTTCAATTGGCTTAATACCTTTAAAGCTCAGCAAAAATGTTCATTAGGCTATAAAAATTTTGGACTTAACTAGAATATTTAAATTAAAACATTTATCTCTAAATTTTAAAACAGTTATCCACATTCCAGAGTGGTAACATTGAAATTATTTTGAATTCTTACTTTCTCTATTAAACATTATCATAATCTCTATCGCTACTTTCAAATTCCTCGTCTGATATATCTTCACTAATTAATTTCTGATAATTAGTCATTCGTAAATTTTCATATACAGGCATTTCAACTTCCAAAGAGTCCATCTCATCCTCCACAAATTCTCTTCTTATTATTCCCATTTCGTAACGCCACCGTATGGCAAATAAAATTATCACTGCCGATAGTAGTACCCCCAGTGCATACAGATAGACTGCAAGCGCAGAAATGGTTAAGAACCTCGAGGAAAGGGTAGATACAAATCGGTGGAGTTGAAGAACTGCCTGAAAATGGAAAATGAAGAAAAAACACTATTTTACTGTGTAACCATGCGCATTCATAACCTTAGTAATGTTACATGTGTACATATATTTTAAACAGTGGCATAGTTTATGTCAGAACATGAATTTGAAATAAATATGCATGATATTCTAATAGGAAACTTATTGAGGACCGCTGACTTTAAGGTGGTATTTACGCGTAACGTAAATTGTTTGTTGATTGTTGAACGTTGTAGTTTAGCTTCAGAAGTTGTTGACTAAACATACTTTTTAATATCTAACTGTTTAACAATAATTAGTATAGTCATTGTTAATTTTTTTTAACGAACACCTCATTGAATATTTTTAGGAGACTTTTAACACATGCATTAATGTCAGAGTATTTTTGCAAATTTGCTAGACAAAACAGGAAAGGTACATTTTCTAATGTTTACATGTTCTCCACGATCTTTCAATGAGAAAAATTAAAGGAGGTTGCTCTAGTTTAGCGTAACACTTCGTCACTTCCTGGATGGATTTACTTGTACTATCATTGCCTTACTAAAAATGCTATTTTTTGTCTATAAAACACCAGCCGTAATAAATAATTATTTGTGATAGGAAAAACTAAATTCATAAAATCAACATTTTGAACAATCCTTCTGGCGTAATCATTTTTTTTTTTCTTTTCACTGTCTTAGAAATACCTAATAAATTAAAAATATTACTGAAATACCTTGATGAAATTAATTTTTCAAGAGTTTGAGGTTTTCTGTTTTTTGGTTTGAGATTACTACATATTTTTAATTCTTACATTTTTTAAATCAAAATCACTTATAGTAGGTAAATTAGAATTAACTGAGAAAAACTAAAAAACTAAGGTCTTATTCTAAATAATTGTCTTGACGCCTGACTTGGCAAACTGGCAATTCGTGCTTACACATAAATGATTACCTTTCACGTGGACGGTGGCTCTCAAAGTGTGCAGGGAAAGGAATAGATTTTAAAAATATCTCTGCAAGTATCTGTAATTTTGAAAAAAATGATTTTCGCTGGATTAATTTACATCTTGAGTTACCCACGGTTAAAATATATGTAGGTACATATTTAAAAGTTAAATATACTTAAACCTTATTTGCTGATAAATTTTTTTCATTCATCGTTTATATGATTTAGAAAAACTGAACGTCATAGAAACAATTTTTAAATTATTTCAAAACATATAAAAAGATAAAACATCATATTTTCTTCTTACAACAATTATTAGTTATTAGTAGGGCTGTTAGAACTGAGCCGCGGGATATAGGCGCCCGCATTATTTATTAAAAAGTATAAATTAAATTATCTGCATTACACCACCATAAACACCAAGGGGTAGCAGTCAACAGACAACAGTATACTAACGTGACATGAACCTGAAAAGCATTTTGAGGCAGCGGCTCACGCATGTCTCGGTTGATTCGCTTGGCACGCCATTGAATCGCGACTCTCTCTGACAGCTCTAATTATTGTGGTTACTCTATTAATTAATATAATAAATAAAATCACTTACGTTTATGAAAAATTTCTCATCTAGCATATTTACCTGTTGATTTCCAATAAGTAATTATAAAATAAGTATCTGCTTTATATTTTTTATTACACAGGTTTACTACTACATCTTCCAACACACCTTATAACTGTCACAAATAATTTTATTATTTGGCAAAATAAGTAATTCCATTTTTATCTTATCAGGGAAAGATACTAGGTCTAACAGTAAATATTTATATCATTTCATTATAATTTTGATTTCACATTCGTCATATGGAGAAAATGTAAAGTTAAGGTAAACAGTAATGCATTTACGAATACATTCCAAAAATAGGTGTATTCTAGTAGATAAAAATATGTAAAATTAACCGCGATAAGAATATTTGTATTATTATTTAGAAAAAAAGTCTCGATATGACATAGTAGCTTAACAAGAAAACAGTATATGCATTATATTTGTTAATTTTTATTATAACACAATTATAAATAAAATAAAGATTTGTTACGTTATTATTCACAATGTAAATATGGCTTTCCAAATTTTGGGAATACGTTTGTTTTGTACGTAAAATTCACCATTAAAAATGGTAAATGGTCATCAAGCGTTTTAGTTTTTAGTTAGACTCTGTACTTTCTTTGCAAAATGACCCCAGTTAGTTGATTGATACGGTAAGAGATTAGGCAACCAACAAAGCAACATTTCTCTCAACTTCATTAAAGCATATACTATTACACACGAGTCAGACATGTTCTTCTAGCAAACGTTTACTATGCTCATATGTGAGCGAAATTAAATATGCAGGGTGTTTTCTAAGTCCATTCCAGGAGATTGTTTCTTGGATTATTTTAGACAAAAAAATCACTGTTACATATTTTTGAAGATGTAGATTATTTAAATTTGGACTGATGACTTAACTAAATATTAGCAAACATTAATACATAAATCTATCAACCAGAGACGGAGATACTGGGAAATATTGTCACCAAGAACATTAGAATTTCGACATAATTTTGGAAATTGGATATATCCTTTAAATCCCCAACGATACGCATAAAAAAATTTTGTCTTTTAAAAACAAGCCATTATTGAGTTAATATTTTCTTATTTTTCTTTAATTTAAAGCACCTAATAACACTGTTGAATTAATCTAAAGCAGCAACTAAATTACCCATTTTACAATAAGACTTACTTTACTACAGACTTTTTTGCACATAATATGATTTTGCACATAATATAATATGATTTGCACATAATATAATATGATTTTGCACATATAATATAATGCATTTTGTACATATATAATATAATATGATTTTGCACATAATATGATTACCTTAGGTCGTGTCAAAACAGATAGTTTTTATAATAATTTTCAGTATTAAGAATTGTCTTGTATAAGAGCTTGAGCAATAATTTTTTAATGGGATTGTTATGTTACACGATTTCAGTAAAAAAGTCTTTCAGCAAGTACGTCATATTTCATGAAATATCAATAGACCTTCTTAGTAGTGACATAAGCCAAATAATAGGCAACTCCATAGTACACATTGTCATGAAGAATTTCTCAGTATTTTTACTAGATCGATATTGGACATAAGTGCCAAAATAATGTCTTCTTTGTCATGACCTTAAATATCGCGATATTCGGGCAACATTAGAAATATTTAAGTTTCAGACCCCAATTGACAAACTAAAAGAATTATAAAATTAAAATAGAACAATACTGACTTTTATAGTAATTAATAAATTAAAATTATATCAATGTTACTGAGCATGCACATTAAAAATAATTTCATGTAAGCGAAGTAGCCTCGCAACAGGATACCATTCAAGAAAAGTTTGGTTCCGGTCACAGACTTGTTCTGGCTAAGAGTACGTCTATAATAAACCTCTTGAAGAAAAAAAAACACTCGATAAACAGACTGACAGCAGAACGCCAAGAAAAAACAATAAAAAATACTTGGTAGAACTAGAAAATGCCAAGATTGAACAAAAGAAGAGAAATTACGCTAATGATAAGAGCGATGATATATCAACAAGATATCTCACCTGCGTATGAGGCTATACTTTCCGAGCATGCGCATTAGGCATAATACGGCTAATGTTAAATTTTTACTTTACTTCAATTTAAGAATTTTCTTTTATATCGTTTTTGGTAAGTTTTAAGCACTTTAGTGTATCTATTTTACGAAACACGTGTTGGCTGTTCTTAAATACTTCTAAATCCTTCTAAAAATAAGTTAATTTGAAATTCTTCATTTCTATAGTATCTATGCAAATAGTAAACAAGGGTCAGATTCGATCTGTACAATTCCAACTATGACAATAAGTTGCGGGTTGCCTAAATAAGTGACGTCACACTAAAAGAGTATTGAGATTACTAGCTAAGCAAAATTGTATTTCATATTTTGTTTTGAGTTGCTATCATGACTCTTCAGCTTTAAAACATCTTCTTTTGTATTTACATATATGGTAACTATGATTCGTGTTGTCCTGTGAATTGGTCGAAATTTTCATTATCAATATATTCCACATCACCAACGCCCATTTTATGAAACCTAATATTAGACAATATCTACTGTTAGTCATCTCAAGGAAACTATTTTTAATATCATCTACATCACTATAATCACTATCAAGTATTTTTAATTAGTTGTTCTCGTGTTTTCAAGCAACAGAGACTGACTTTTTGCACATGTATCTTAAATAACGACTATGTAAGTCCAATGTAATAATGAAAACAGCAATAGAATTTATTTTTGTATTGGTGAGTACTGAAATACGACAACAGATTAATTTTTTATTTATCTGCTTCATAAAAAATAATACTTAACTGACACTTTAGGCCATAGGGTTTATTTCGTTAATTTTTAAGTTGTTTTTCACTGATGACAACATAAATATGAGAAAGGAAAAGCTATGTGACAAATTATTATTGATATTGAATATATATATATGCTTATTGAATTCTTGCTCAGAAATAGTTAAGCTCATGTACTGAAGTCATTCGTCCAGTCCATTTTTAAAACTTTTCTATTCCTTCGTTAAAAATGTAATGATACTGCGAGATTTCAATTTCTCAAAACTATTTTTTTTTGTTGCAAAATACCTCTGAAACATAAAATAACAGTCATACAAAAAAAAAGTTGTCTGTACTTTTCATGCGACATATGTTATCCGTAGTATTTTTGCACCTGATCACGAATCCGGTGTCAGAATTGAGCTATCATATCACAGGAATTTCCTAACCTCAAAAAAACAGGTCAAAAATAGCAAAAATTCACGAAAAATGCTAAGTAAATTACAAGTATGTGAAGACATATATGGATTAGACAAAATAATGCTTAAGCAGGGAAATAAATACAAGTATAACTATACCTAACCCTCTCTTCGATAGCTCTATGGTTCGGTGTACATGTAACGAGCGTTCAAATAAAAACGTGGTCGAAGTTGCCTCTGACACATTGGACGTAGGGAGTAGCTTATAGCGACCAACTTAACCTCATTTCTCAACCAGCTGTATAGCAGCTGTCAGATTCAATAACGTTAATGACTATATAACTATTTTAAAGAATAATCGAGATAACAATAACAAACAATTAAAGGAGAACAAACGCAAATCTTTTTTTAACACTGTGTGGCAGGTACCGACTGATACTTCCACCATTTGTGATAAAACACGTACAGAAGTTCTTGGCTTATTTTCCATTATTTATTGGACATATTCTTTTAATTCTTCAGTCCGCTTTTTAGGTCGGCCGCTTCCTTCTTTTCTTGTTACACTGCCCGTTTCACGAAAAACATTAACACAACGCTAAACTGCACTTTGAAAAATTTTGTACTCAACAACGCCGGGAAATTGATTTTGAAATTCTATGAAACATTCCTCAATAGAATACTTCCATATTCCATCAATCTTGCGTCCATTTCTAAAGTAGGACTCTATGATAAACACTTTTTGTTCTTGAGAAAACACCATTTTAAACGCTTTTTAAAACGAAAATATTCAAATTGATAGCGGCGATATAGCGCTTTGACAGATGACGTTTAAGTTCATTTGCTATACGCTACGCCCTACGTCCAAATTTTCAGAACCAACTTGACCACGTTTTTATTTGAACGCTCGTTACAAGCTTATAAACTACAAAGTAAAATAGGCAACATATATATCTTCACACTAGATATAGGTTTTTTTATAATTTTGACAGTGTTATTTAAAGAAATATCTAGTCTCTACTTAGATTGTGGGAAAGCAATAGCAACAAAATAAACAATGGGTACTATTCAGTAATAGCAAAAATAAGTAAAAGGTTCTTAAGTACTACTTGAGTAAAAAATCAATCAACACAACTATGAAAGTCTAAGCAAACTTGGAAAATAAGGCAAGTATGCACTATTAATTAATTAATACGTTAACTAGTAAATCATACAATAGTAAGCAAAGCAGGATACTACATAGTGTGGAACCAATAATTTTGCCTAAATGACCTTTATATGCGGGTGAGTAGTAAACAATAATAAAATAAAGTAAGTAATAATTAACGACTACCAACTGACAGATAAGTACTACGGTAGAACAATTTAAAACAAAATTAAATGAGCTAATAAATAATTACTACAGTGGCAAACTAAATTGGTAAAATCGCAGAAAACAATGATTAAATGGGCCCACAGAAGCAGCTAAATCCACATATAATTTGTGATGTTATCGTACACGCTGCCGAATATTCAAAACGACGTTATCTTCGTCCAAGCGCTGACACGAATCGGCCACAAAAAGGTTTAGCAAAAAAAGGATCGCAAGAAAAGGTCCGATTGCCGGTAAACCGCAATTCCAAATCAATAAAACTTATTGTTTTAATATTTTTCGTATATTTGCGCGAATAAGCCTTTAATTAATTTAAAATTTAATATAATGTTAAGCAACAGCCCCGGTTGAAATATTCCAATTCTTTTTTTTTAATTAATCAGTTATTGATAATCTCTGAATGCAATTAATGAGAAGAAAACAAAAAAAACACAACAAAATAGTACTAACCTAATGTAAGAACGACTGAGTTGCTGAACATGAATAAAATTCGGCTCAGGAAAGTGACGAGACATACAGGGTGTTAAAAAAAGATTAAA